TTAAGCATCCCCCAGAAAATTTTATACCAGATGTCAGTCTATGTTCATTCAGTTGCAGCTTATCATTGGATTTTCTTTGATGCCATTGATCTGAACTGTTTCCCTTTGAACGTATTTCTCGGGTTAAATTCCCTGTATCCATTAATTTGTATCTTCCTAGTAATACTCATTTTCATTAGAGTTTTAAAAAAAAACCAAAAAACCAACAAAAAAAACCCCAAACCCCCCAAAAACAAAAACCCAAACAAACAGAAAACCACCACCAGAAAACTTTGCGCTGCTGCTCTGTATTCAGATGCTTTTTGCAGTGTATCACTGAATATTTGGGTTGAGTGTCTGCCACTTACTTGGTTTCTCTCCCTCGTTGATAAAAATCAGATGGTGGCATGGTCACTTTAGAGACTGACCTGTTGTTGCTTCTGATATGCTTAGCTCTTCGTGTTGGTTCAGTCAATATGTGTATGCATGGAGGAGCTTTAGTGTTTTCTTAGCGCTAAAGGCTAAGGGTAGTGTACAACATGCAGTAAGTGCTTCTTGCAGATGTGTGCAGTATGTGTACTAGACCAATGTGTTGGAAGCCCTCCTCCCTCATGCAATTTGGTAGCCGCACAGCTGTAGGAGCCTTGTATATTAAGAGCCATTGCAACATCTGCATGCTAAAACTGCCATGCAAATGGGATGTATAATCTGCAAATAGGTACTTTTCTTTAAAGAAAGTTGTAACGGCTCCAGGGGCTAAAGCAAAATCTGAGAGGAGAGTTTTTGCCCGTCTGGGCCTTTTAGGATTAAATCTTCCAGGATTCTGACTGTTCATGAAATTTAGCATCTACTTCCATCCAAAGAAGTAGCTCTTCCTACTAAACGTGCCAGCGTAAGACCTGTTGTCCTTTCAGTCTCCCCGCGACTGCAGTTACTGTGGGCAGGGTGTTGTTTCTATGCTACGGTTGGGCTGCTGCCTTTTTAGAGTAACTTCAGGGGCGCTGAAAGTTTGTTTTGTTTTCTGTTTATGGTTTTTGTTTGGGTTTTTTTTGTTTGTTTAAAGGGGGGATTAATCAGCAACAGTGTATCGAGAGCAGTGTTTTCTCATTTTCTGAGCGTTGTGCTGTGTTGTATGTATTACAGACCTTGTGCTGAGCTGACAATCAGATATGTGGTGATTGACTTGAGTTTTGAACATCTGAAATTAAAACCGTAATACTTGAATGTGTAACTGTGTTCATTATGAGATGACTAGGATAGCAGTGGCCACACTTTTCAGCAGGGTCATGTTTGTGTCATCCATCAGGCTCAAAGAAATACTGGTAGAATGACTAGATGGTATATTAATTACAGTTGCTATGCTCAGATGCCTAGATCTAGATTTGAATTAAATGACAAAATTAAATCTGATTGAGATTCTTCCATCAACCTTACTTGGATCGAAGTAGTGTGTAGAGAAGCCTCTCCTTTTCTCACCAGAAGGCTAGCCAAGCAGGGTGGCTGGGCAGGCTCCGTCCATGGAGGTCTTCAAGACATGGCTGTGTAAAGTCCTGAGCAACCTGCTCTGAGCTCAGAGCTGACCTTGCTTTGGGCAGGGGTTGGACTAGAAACCTCCTGCGGCTCCTTCCAACCTGAATTATCTTGTGATCCTGGATTAGGACCTGGTTATGCTAAATGCTACGCAGAAGGGTGTTACGCTGTCCATAATCCCCTGTCCTAAGGTTGTCCTGGCAGCTAAAAATCTCTCTGAAAGTAACACCCACAGAAGTAATTTCAGTTGATGCTAAGCTGTCAGTGCTTGTTTTCTTTATCTGAGACAGATCTGCCTTTTGCAAGCCTTTTCCTGTCAATTTTGCTAATCGCTATTTTAGATTCATAATGTTGATAAGCTTCCACTCAAATTCCCACCAATTGTGAAATAATACATACTGTAAGTAGCTATGGAAGTGTGCACACGGAAAAGAATAAAAGCAAGGATAGTATCTGGAGGATGCATTAGTCCAATATGGCCAAAACTGTCTACAGATGCCGCAGGGGTTTAAAATTGGTTCAAGCAGGAATTGTCTTTTGAAGGTGAGCTGGGCTAAGGAGAGCAAGATGGTTTCTTAAGTAATATTGCTTGGTCTTGGCAATAAAGATTCAGATGGGGTAGCCTGCAGGATGGGTGAGCAGAAACAAGTGAATTACAACATCACTGCAGAAATTTGAAGACTATTGCAATCTTGAAAGAAGGAAACGTTTTAGAAGATATGTTTCACAGAAGACTGAAAAAGGAGAGGGGAAGAAACATCAAGGCATTTAAAATACTGCTGAGGCCAAGTAAACTTAACGCTTGAAGTTTGTGGAGACCCCAATTCTGAGTTAAATTTTAGTAGGGATCAGAGAGCCAAAACTGGGAACAAGACTGCCAGAAAATCCTTATTTAATTTTGAAGGTAGCTTTTGGGATTTACTAGACTGCAGAACGTTAATTGCTTCAAATTGCAGAAGGAAAAGAGAGACACGACTCTTAGTGATGGGTGATGTCAGTTTTGGTGACTTGACATGCAGGATTGTGATATCCTTGCATTGTCATTACAGCGAGCTGAGTAAGCAAACTGCAGACCCTTTGGAAAATTGAAAAGCAAAGTTAAATCTCCCAACAAAGAGTCTGCAAAATGCAGGCAAAGCTAATTTACGTGAAAGTTGGCACGTGGAAGGCTAATGCTTCAAACGCTACCCTTCCTTTGGGCAGAGCTGCTGTGTAAGAAGTGAAACTGCTTTACAAAAGCCCATCAAAAGGGACCAGAAGTGCTTTAAAAAAAGCAGTGTGTGTGTGTAATGTTCTGTACGATGAAGAAGAGGTGGAAGAGGTTTGGTGTTTTGTGTTTTTTTGTTGTTTGTTTTTTTTTTTTTTTTCCCTCTTGAACAGCTCCTAAGGCTGCATCCAGCTGTTTGTAGTATTGCCTTGAATGTGAGCAGCGCTCAGGTTATGTGTGCGTCTGTGGGCAAGCGTAGCACCGGATGTTGCCTGAAGGTTTGAAAGCAAAACCCAGCCCTGTGGCCACAGGCAAAGTGCAGATTAGAGAGGTTAAATTGCTCGTATTTCTGGGTAGGCATAAAAATAGCACAAGATCGCTTCTCCCTCCCTCTCCCTCTTCAGGCTAATGGTTCTGGAAAGAAGTGAGCTGCACGGTCTCACCGGCAATGACCACGCGACCCTTTGGGGCAGAGGTTGTTTTCCAAAGACACCTGGCTGCCTGTGCAGCTGGTGTAGGTCAGGGAGCGAATCCAGCCGGGTTCTGCCTCCTGCGGGGCTGTGTATCTCGTCAGGAAGGCTGGCTGCTTGGGTCCGAGGCAGCTGGGCTGGGAAGCGGGAAGGATGGGAAGTGCTGGTCCAGAGAAGGAGCTGCATGAAGTGTAGATCGGGAAGGGAAGAGCCAATTTTCTAGCAAACGGGTAAATAAGCAGATGCTAACAGAGCTGTTTGATGTTAAACGTAGCCAAAACAATTTGGGGCAAAGGCGAATCTGGTTCTGTGCATCTAAATGTGTTTAAAAAAATCTTTGGATTTGTGCACCAGTGTTGAAAGAGTTTGCATGTGCTGGGAACCCCTTCTCCCTCCCTCATTTTTGCATTGTTTCGTCTCTGCAAAAGAAGCTTTATTAAAGCACGTGACTGCAAAAATACAACTTTATGGGGGGGGAGGGGTGGGGGGCGATGAGACGATGATGACGTTTTAGAAGCGTGGGAGCTAAATGTTCTGTGAAAGTTTATTTTTGATAGACTAATTTTCAAGACACCTGCAACTGGAAAAAAGTCAAGATTGTCCAAAAGTTTTTAAAAGCTGGAGACTTACATGCAAACTTAGGTTTGGCGCTGCTAAAATAGACCCTTTGAAAGTGAAACTGTTGTCTACCATGATTCTATATAGACCTGAGCTTTCTGCTGAGCACCTGGTGATAGTGTTTAAGGAAATTTGTTATTCCTGTAAGAAGGCAAAATGTAATATGGTAACAGGTTACACGGGCTGGAGCATTTGCTATTGCAAGAATGCATTTATATCTGCGTGTTGTATACGGAGGCAAAACGTGGGCGCAGAAGGCAGTGATGTGTTGGGTTGCTGTTGTGGCAAGTCCTCGCTAAAGAGGTGCGAACTTCCAAGGATCGTAGGAGGCATCTTCACCTCCTTCACCTCTGCCGTGCGAGGAAGGGCAATACGTGCGATGTCTCCGAGTGGTGAGGCAGCAGGCTGCCGAGGAGTCTCTGAGCCACAGCCTCTGTTGCGAGCAGCGCAGTGAGACCTATTTACTCATTCACAAAGTAGATTTTCTAGCAAACGTTGAGACTTACCAGCAAATGGCCGCTGCTGATCTCAGTAGTTTTGCCCCCGTTGGAAGGGGAAAGGCAGGCTTCTCCCAGGCTCCTCCAGCTGAAACATGGTCAGTGCCTCCCGGGACAAAGGTCCCTAGCCAGGGAGGGAAGTGCTGGCTCTTTTGGCTTCTCTCTTTCTCCTGGCATTCAAATTACCTATTAAACTGTCACCCTGCCTCTAAAGCCCCAAGGAGAAGACTTCTTGTTGGGCACCGCACAGGAACATTGTGAGAGGAGCACTGAAGGATGCCCAGAGGAGCGAGGCGGGGCAGGACCAGGGAAAGCAAAGGAAAACACGACTCAGAAGGCACCCGGGAGTGACTGGTGCCTCAGGGAGGATGAGGATGCAGGGTCGGTCCTGAGGTCCGGCTAGGAGAAGTTGGTCAGTGGGCTTGACAAAAGCTGTTTGGGTGGAGGGTAATGGTGAGTGGAGGGTGCGCTGTGTGTAATGATTGTAGGTAAAGTGTTCAGTGAGCAGCGGGCTGGTGTTGGGTTTTGAGGGTTGTTCAGAGAAACAGATGCCTTGACCTGTTCTGGTCAGACCGTCATGGGAATGACACAAGGTTGCTATCTCTGTGCTGCACGAACCAAACGTTTCTGTGCGCGGCCTGTGCCTCCAGCGGATTTTTTGGCAAAGCTTCACAAAACATTTTTACCGTTTCCTCTGTCAGTAAAGCTCAGTAACGAGAGAGGGGATGCTGCTCTCAAATGACAAAATACTTGTACTTTGTATAAATTGGTCTCATAGTTCTAAGTTGATTAAAGTGCTGGGTTTCAGCAGAAGCTGCACTTAACGGTATAACAAACGCACCTGAAAGGTTTCCTTCTTCTCGTTACAGATGGATGGTGATAGCTCCACAACGGATGCTTCTCAGTTAGGAATTTCTGGAGATTACATTGGTGGCAGTCACTATGTGATACAGCCTCACGATGGTAAGAAATGTTACAGAAAGTACTACTATTTCTGTGTGTATATGTATATCTGTTTCCTTCCAGTTCTTGTATAATTCTCTGCTATCTTCTCTCAAGCTAAGAATTTGCAATTGTTTGTATTCATAATGCCTCACTGTATAAAGCATTTTTTCATCGGTCTGAAGGTGGGGGTTGGATTTTTCAATGTTGACACTGAGTCTTTTGGGGTGATGGCAAAAAAAATCATGTTCTAGGAAACAATTTGTATTTTAACATGACATTAAGAATGCTTGGTGTTCAGCAGCCGCATACACCTCTGTGCATAATATAAAGAAGATATTGAACACCCATAAAGGTACCCTGGTGTTACATCTATTTAATTATTTCTACAATGTTAATACACTGGGCTTTCAAAAGTTCTTCATCCTTCAGTGTAAGATTTTAAACTTAATTATTGCCTGCTGTCTATCAAATACAATTTCTGTTAACTTTTCTTTATTTCATTAGACACAGAGGACAGCATGAATGATCACGAAGATACAAATGGCTCAAAAGAGAGTTTTAGAGAACAAGACATATATCTTCCAATTGCAAATGTGGCAAGGATAATGAAAAATGCCATACCCCAAACAGGAAAGGTAATACCCTTGTCTGGTAATGAAAGCATATTAATGAGTTTTATTCCTTCCTCTGAGTGAACCTGAGCTGGTAGAACAATACATTTTTCCAAATGATCCTGGTTTATTGGAGAAAAGCCTTCTAAAAAAAACCAAAGCAAACAGACAAACAAACAAACAAAAAAAAAAAAAAGGAAAAAAACCTGGGCAGGAGGTGGTTGAGACCAAGTCCATTTTTCTTAGGTTTCTGAAAGCTTTTAGCAACTGCTGTAATTAGAGTATCCACAGCAGTGCTCTTCATAGGGCTTTCAAGAGCTTTCTTTTTCTAAGATGTGTTCTCTGAAATTGTCATAACGGGTCAGACTTGGTGACAATCCCATATCAGTAAGAATATTTTTCTATGTGATTCTCTCTTATGAAATTTAATCTGCTTTTATTGAGGTGTATAAAATTTGGAATAAGTGAACCATTTTGAATTAAATAAAAATCCATTCCTCATCCTGGTTAGTCCTCCATTTCACGAATCTTTACATGTCCAAATGCCAAAATGACCAAAGAAGTCTGCTTTATACCATGTAGCAGATAAGGCCAGATATTGAAAGACTTATTTTATTTCTTACGTCTCAGAATAGACTTTTTAATGAATTCTGTGGAGCTGGTGATTGTATAAGCATTTGACCGTTCTACCTGTTTATCTTAAACTTTTGCAGGGCTCCTATTACTTGTTGTTTCTCTATTGTATTCCACTACAATTCCTGCCCCAGTAACATTTCCTCTAGCTAAAGCTGATTTTTTTTTTTTTCTTTTTTGAGATCACTCTAAATAGAAGCAAGACATAATTTACTTGCATCTGCTTGTACTTTCATAGTGTTCAAGGCTTTCTGGAGATCTGGGTGTTACATTTATATCTTTGCTGCGAAAATCTCTTCACTAGTCCATATTGTCATAAATTTTTAGTGATCAAGATGAGATTTTTCTGAAGAATTTAGCATATGGGATGTCAAGCTATCTTGAAAAATCAGGGAGGTTTTTGTGAAAAACTGCAGGGGAAGCTGCTGGCTGATGAGTACTTCTGAAAATCTTGCCCTATGTGTCTGAAAATACCAGAGGAACTAGTGAAGATTCTACATACAGTTACGGCTTCATTTTTTTTTTTTCTAATACAAATAGGTTCTTCTCATGTAAAGCATAAGAATCTTAATTATTATAATCTTTCAGTTGGTTCCTGTCAGCTTCCCAAATAATCATGAGTAATGCTTACTGTTATTTTAAGTCAGGTAAATTACTTTTGTCCAGCTGAAAACCATAATCAAATTTGCTTATTGCATTCTTGCCAGGGGCATATATTTGTTCATTTGAATTCTCATTTGGGAAATTTATTCCAGAATAATAAAGCATTAGAGAGGCTTGCTACTAGGCATATATTCTAGTCCCTGAATCCGGTCAGGATAAAAATACTTGTCCTTGCCGAATCTGTGCGAATGCACTGCAGTGGAGTTGGAACTGCTGGGCCTATTAAAAGGAAGATGGAAGCGGGCTACGACATTGTAATGAACGAGTTTAAAGAGAAGGCGTAGGTAAGCAAAGTAAGCAATACTGAGATGCATCTATATGTAAAAGCTTGTACAGAACATAGTTATGACTTCAGGAGATCCCGGCAGTTCGCTGTGTTGCTTGAAATAGTAAAACTTGCGTTAAAATCATGTTGCAGCTGTGCTTACATAGAGCAGTGATGACATCCAGTGGTTCCCTCACGTACGGGTGTTGCCTAAGTGGGTATTATCAGGTTTTGGGATGTTGCCTTTATTATCTCGTGTATTCTTTTGTTTTTTGTTTTTTAATCTTCTTGCGTCTTTATTAATCATTTTATTATACTTTTTCCTTACTAGATTGCTAAGGATGCAAAGGAATGTGTGCAAGAGTGTGTAAGTGAATTCATCAGCTTTATAACGTCAGAAGCAAGTGAGAGGTGTCACCAAGAGAAAAGAAAGACCATAAATGGAGAGGATATTCTCTTTGCCATGTCCACCTTGGGGTTTGATAGCTATGTTGAACCTTTGAAGTTATACCTCCAAAAGTTCAGAGAGGTTGGTGTATACTTCAGTGTTTCCTCGCTTACTTAACCTGGTTGTGTTTATCCTTAGCTCCCTGTCATTGTAATTGTATACTGGCTAACTTGCACAGTATCTCACAGCTGTTGTCAGGGACTAATGTAATGTTTAAAAGCATTCCAGAGGATATCAAGAGAAAAAGGAGTAAGTAAGCATTTTGATTAGACTTGCTGATTCAAAGTAGTTAAAGCTTTCAACTGAATAAATTCTCTAATGGATTGCTGGTAGTAAATCACTCTGTTCTTTAAAGGTGCCTATTAAGAATACTTAATTCGATCTTTGAGTTCAATCAATAAAACTGTACTAGACTGCATCCTCTGAGGAGCTAGCCTAATGCCTATTGTTTGTCTGGGCTTCAGATCTGCAAAAGAAAAAGTTGGTTTTCTCATGTTGGAATAATGATTCACATGGAAGGCTAGCTTCGAATTTTTCTTTTTTAAATCTGTTTTTTAGCCTGTCCCTCAGTTTGCTTTTGATACATAGTACGTGCTAGGTATGTGATCCAAGCAGTTTAATTTATCCCTTCTCTAGCAGAAAGTGACTTTTTAAATTGCTGCAAGGAAAAAAAAAAAAACAAACTTTTTCAAAAGAAGTTGCTTCTGCTTGGGTTTTTTGTTCTCGTCCCCCATTCCCCTGCTTCCTGTCTGACGACCAAAGAGAATTATGCTTGCTTCCTTCTTTACTTTGGTGTTTTTACGTCAGAATACCAGATTTAACAAAACAAAGGTATTTTTATCCAGTGACCTCTCTTCCTCGTAGTCCTGAATGAAGAAGTTGTTCAGGGTTAAAATGATCTGGGGGAAAAAAAAAAAGTGAAGCAGGTATGTCTAAATTGGCAGTGCTGTAGATAGAGATGCTCTTAAGACTTTCTTTGTTCTGTAAACCTAAGTTTTTTAATTAATGGGGTCAGACTCGCTAGTGATATTTAATTTGCTGATAGCACTTGAAGCTTCCCCTTCCCAGAAGGTCATTTGCTGTGATAACTGAGTAACGGGAGGTGTAATCTAAAAATTGAAGTAGTGCTGTGTGCTATCTTTTTCCAGTTCCGTGCAGCAGTTGCATGTGCTGTCAAAGTGCTCTGTGTGCTTTAATTAAGAATGCAAGTAGTGCCTAACTAGTTTCAGTACTTCTGGAGAAGTCTGAAGTGCATCTATGCTACTTTCATTCTGAAGTGACCATTTTTGCACATACATATGCTGTGGTAGCAGAGTAGTGGGATTGGGTTTTAATTGGATGGATGGATTGGATGGTTTTGCTCATCAGTTTTAAACCTTCATTCCAGCTAGTTCTGTCTTCAGGGTACTGTGTATAGTGAAATATTTCTGTTTTGTAGCTTAGTATTTAGTCTGCATCACACAGTTGCAGAGAATACTTTTTATACCCATATTATTTTCTTAGATGTTCTTATGTAATAGCATAGAGCATCAAACTTCATAGTTGTAAAACTGCATGCAGATGACTGGGAGCCTTGGCTTTCTGTGCTGATATCCTTTCTGGCTGCAGTCCTTGACGTGGGGAAAGAAATCCAATATCTTGGTTTTAAATGTCAACTCTTAGTTGTATGATGATGCCACTTGCTTGTGGTTGGTAAGCAAATGTTGCACATTCTCAGTAGTTCTCAGATTCTGTGATTTCTTGTAAATGCTCTTAACTGCTCCTTCTGGATTACTGCAGATCTTTGATTTTCTGCAGAAGGTGAAAGCCTTTCTTAGAACTACACAATCCTAGTTTGCAGAGTCTTTGTTTCTGAGGAGTATGGCTACAATGAAAAACACCCTTCATATAGTCTTGTACTGTGCGCATTCTTAAATCCAATAGTTTTACAGGTGTTTGTGCAGCAGCTGCAGTTTGAAATCAGTGACTCTTCTGCAAGTTCCAAACCTTGGCTAGAGCTCTTGGGGTTTGAAACAATCTCAAGCCAACTGTACTCTAATACATTTCTTTTTCTTTTTTCTTTTTTTTTCTTTTTTCGCCCCACCTCTCCAGGCAATGAAAGGAGAAAAGGGAATTGGGGGAACAGTTACAACTGGAGATGGTCTAAGTGAGGAGCTAACAGAGGAAGCATTTAGTAAGTAATACTTTTTAATTTATTGTATTATTACTGTGGGTTTTCTAAAAACAGCACTTCCTTTAGACATCAGAATTCTTACTTGAGGAATACATCCTGGACTGGCCACATGTTACACCTGTGATCCATTGAGATTTTCATTTAAGATGCCTGGAGGATAACCTGTGCTCAGATAAACTCCTCCCAGTCAGTAGAATTTATGGTCAGAATGAAGTAATATAGTGATAAATGGTGGCACTCTCATAATAGCTAATGTCAACTGTGGAAGATTTTTAAATGCATACATTATTAGTGCCAGTATTTTTTTCTCTACACTTAAACACAGATTGTAATGAAACGTGCAAACTTTTTTTTTCTTTTTTTCTCCCCCCAGTCCCCAGTAGCTACATATTTAGGCCACATTCGTTCTACTTGCAAGAGTGTTGGGGAAAAAGTAAAATAAACTCCACTTGATGACTTGAGGAGCTTGTCTTTGAGAAATGAGCCAGAGAAGAACATAATCTTCATATAATTCTAAAACACTTAGTATTCCTTAGATTCAAAAGAATGCACAGACTGGCAACTCAAATGTGTAGGGCAAGGAGCATCATACGCATTCACTGTAGTTTTTCTTCCTTATACTGTAAATTAAAGCCTGACACTTGTTGGGACTTCGTGTTGGTTTTGTTGATGCTGGATTCTTGCATGTAGTCTTCACCTTGGCTTTTAAATGTTACGGGATGGTGATCTTGAAGCTGATACAAGAAGAACTAGGAGGCGCAGCTCTAGTCATATCTACTGATGAGATTTAGTTTTTCAAGTATCTGATAAACCTTCTGTTTAAAATCACTGGTAAATTACTGAACTAGCAAAAATTCAAAGCCTGAGGACTGAAATGACCTATTCAGGGTGTGACACACACTTTGCTCCCTGTATGATGACTTTGGCTGCATAAAACAGTACAGACTCTTTGGGTCTCTACTAGCCTGGAAGATAAGCTCATAAAACTGGCTGGAAATTAAGAATCTAAACCTAAATATTGTAGGGGACTTACAGAAAGCTTTATTTTTTTTTTTAATATGACTATTTTAATTTTATAATTAAAGATTAGGGAATGCAAATAGTCTTATCCATACTCACTCATATGTAATAGCTTTGGTTCAGAAGTAGTAAGACACTAGCACAACTGTAGGCCCAACTTATCTTGGGTGTGTTGCTGATGACTTCTGGATTGCAGCTGTTGGGAGTCTGTCCAGCTTGGAAGCTTGTCAAATCAATATATAGAAATTGTTCTAAAAGCTTTATTTTGTATATATTCTGATTTGCACTTCAAGCATTTAAAGTGCAGCTCAAGAGTTGAGGGAGAATATATAGTTGGAAACTTCTGATTGTGTCTGTGTCCCATATCTTATTTTGTTTGGGCAAAGAGGCAAATTCACAAAAAGTTTATGCTCTGGACGCTCGTGCTCTGCTTAGCCTGAGTGCAATGCCCACCAGAAAATGGAAACCAGAAAAAAGGAATCCCCTTACATCTGTGGATCCACTGTCCCCTTCCCAAATCCGATATGGTCCCTGTTAAATGGCAGAAGGGTGAAGATCTGCTACTAGTCGCTTGTTTAAATATCTCAGGCCTGGGAGCCTCAATATGCTCTATGAAATAAGCCTTAATTTGCTACCATTTGAAAAGAGCAACTTCGGAAGCGAATATTAAGTCTTGGCAGGATGTAAAGCAGATGTTGCAGTAGTAGAAGAAGAAAAAAAAAATGTTCTGTAAAATAACTGATCATGTCAAGTGCTGCAGGTATTTCTCTCCATAGGGGCAGCTAGAGATCTGTTCACAACAATCGTCTCACTGCAGGAGTAGCAGTAATAGCTGTGCTACTGTAGCATAATGCTTAGCTCTTTGCCTTAGCCTAATACCAGGGCTGGGTCAGAGGCTTGGCATTAAACTGTGTTGGATGTGGAGCACGGGCATCAAAGGGCCATAAAATTTTGGACCTGCCAGAGCCACTTCTCAGTGTGATCTTAATGCATCTCATAACTCGCAACTTAAGTATTTGAAAACTAGTACAATGAAGGTAGGGAAAAAAAGGCCCAACTAAAGACCCAGTTAAAAAAACCCCAAGTATCAGCTTTCAAATGAAAGCTGTTAGGATTATAGTGTGTTTTCAGATTTTTTTTTTTTTTTATGGATTATACACCTTATTTATAGATAGTAACAGCCATAATTCAGAAAGAAGAAAGCCGCATTGTTTATCTCCTATCAGAGAATGTTATGCTACAGTGACTTAACTTACAACTTAAGAGTTTTGCTGCTTTGCTTCCAAGGAGCGGTTGTAACATGCCTGCTCTGAATGTCACAGAGCTCAACGTACGTGTTATTGTGAAGGTTTCTCTTAGAGCATCACTCCCTGCGTTTTCTCTCTAAATCTCAGAAGTACTTTTTACTCCGTTCATTGGCCTGGTCTCTCCTCTATGAAATTCAGAGCTCTTGTGCGTACCCTGAAGGCATGCTGAAGTCAACCACTGTAATGTCAGGCTCTGGCAGTCCCTTTTTTTTTTTTTTTTTTTTTTTTTTGTCATTGCCTGTCTCTTGTTCGTCTCTGCTGCCTTCCATGGGGCTTCCACATTACGGAGTCCCTGATGGATCCTGTTTTATAAAGAAGCGCAATGATTTGAGTTCCTCACACATCTGTATGCTCAAATGCTAACCTTATGTCTAAACAAACCAAACTGAAATCTCCAGGTTTCTTGGGATATTGAATGCCGGAGATTGCTTTTTCAGCGATCAGGATGGCAAACTCCATTTGCCAGCGTACAGCTGTGTATGTTCTGCTTCATATATGCACAGGGGAAGAACAGGGTGGAGTCTTACTTTTAGATTACCTGATGCAAAATTAAGTTGAATTTTGTTTCAGTGTTTCTTCTTAATGGGAATAAACTTCTTTACTTGTAACAGTAACAAGCGTGTCTATATGCAGTGTAGGATGGTAGCTGTCAGGTGAGGGATGGTTCCATATTCCTGGAGTGGCCCCCAATTAAAGGTTATTTAATGGTGACAGGCACATCAAACGCGGCTCTGTGTATCCTGCAGTTCCCATCTAACTTTCTTAACATGCTCTTTCTTTCAGCTAACCAGTTGCCAGCAGGCTTAATAACTACAGACGGCCAACAGCAGAATGTTATGGTCTACACAACATCATATCAACAGGTACTGTATCCCGTCCCCTACTCTCCCTTCTGCTGCTAAAATTCAAATGCTAATTCAGCTGCCCTGTTCTGAAAGATGGGAACTAATTTTATTTAGTCCTTTGGTGGTGGTTGTCATGACATTCCAACACTGTGACAATTCAAGGCTGCTAGCTGCAATGCAGTTTCAGAAAAGATGCCTTTGAATGTAAGCTTGTGTTTTCTTTCTCTAGATCTCTGGTGTTCAACAAATTCAGTTCTCATGATTTGAAGAAAACTTTGTATCTGGGAACACAAGACGGAAAAGCTGTGCAACTCTAACGAAGAGGCAGTTTTAATGACTGGTGAAGAGACTTATCTCTTTGTATATTAAATAGCTGTAATGTAGCTACCTGAAGCTTGACTAATTGAGGTGTGAGTTCTGACTCAAATCTTTTTCATGATGATTTTAAAAAAAAAAAAAAAAATTGGATTTTAAAGGTATTAAAGTATTTTTGTTTTGTACAAGAGTTTGTTGCTCTGTATAACTCCTGTATGCATTGTATATTGCAATTTATTACTGTCAGAGATTTGTAGACAGTTTCTTATTTTCATATTGAATCATGTTACTTTTGTAATTCAGGTAAACAGCTGGGTTAATTCATGTTTACCCTTTGAATAAAATTGTAAGGGTAAAGTTCATTTTTGAATGCAAGTTGCCTTTATTATAAAGATTGAGTTGGTCTTGGTTATATAACTTGTCTTGCATGACAGCCTCAACTAACTTTACATGCCAGCATATTTATTGAAATTTTGAAAGGGACTTTTTCCTCATGAGACTAGAAGCTCAAAAGAATTGCTACAACTGTTTTTTATGTAACTTCAGAATTAAAAAGTTAATCAAAAACAACCAATGCTCTACTGCATTTAGAGGCTTAGAGCTTAGTGTTGATGAAAACACTGCCTGTGTGTGATGCAGGTCTTCATTTCTTTTTTTTTTTTTTTTTTCAGTTGCATTAATTCTCCTTAGACTTACTTTGAGATATTTAAGGTAGTCTTTGTGCTACTGGAATAATTCTTCCTTTTTATGTATGGTTTTTAGAATCCAAAACTTAGACATTCAAGGGTAGTGGGGGGTGGATTTTATAGTCCTTGTGGTAAAGGATCTCATTTTAACTTTTTACTGAAATGTTTTAAGGTTTCTTGTGAGACTGTGGGAACTCAAATGTGTTAGCGACTTTCTGTGTACAGGCTGTGCGCGCGCGTGTGTGTGTGTGTGAGTGATTGAAACTTGGAACAAGTGATACAAATCTGAAATGGAAGACAGACTTCTAGTTTGCTCTCTCTTTCCTGGTTTTGCAATAAACTCTACCTAGATAATGTAGTTCTGTATATTTAGTGAGCTGTTCTTAGTAGCATTGCTGTTTCTTTAATAATTGGGTGGGTAATTTTGTTAGATGCAATGTCTTAGCCCGTTAGGATAGGGGTGGTGGGTTTAGCAATGTATCTTACTCAGACTGAATTTTGGGACCTTTGATATTTTTACTGTTTGCAGTGGACTGAAATGTAATATAATAATTATCTTTCCACATAGCTGTCATTAATTTAAGCAAACCACACCTTGAACCTGTTGCCATATAATTTCTTGCTGGTTTTGTCTTTTTCTCTTTTTCTTCTTTTTTTTTTTTTTTTTTAAGTAACAATTTAATATTGGGAAAATAGTTTAAACTAAGACATCCCAGAAGCCTGAAATAGCCAGTTCTTTGCTAAACAAAAATTTTATGTATGTGCAGGTTTGAACAGTGTTTCTTACAAATTAGCATCATGCTGGCAGAGCCTCCGGAGGCGATCCAGTGTATTTTGTGGCAATCTGGGCAGATGTTCTGGGTTTTGTGGCAGTCTGTCAATCTTCAGCAGCTCTTGCTGAACAAATGGAGTTTTTCATTAAATGTACAAATGAATAACACAATCTCTACACGAGCCCCTTCTGTTTGTATTCTGTTTATTTCAGGCCATCATACCCTGTTCTTGATGTTCCCAGATTTGCAATGGAAAAAGCTGTGATCTCAGCTAAGGAGAAGCTAGGAGAGGTTTGGCAGTTGGATGTGCAGAAAAGGGGCTGAGGTCATCCGTCACATTTGCTTGAAACCAGCTACATTTTTCAGTCTGCTGTCTCTTCTGTGAGTTTAGGTTAAAGTGGTTGGAGTTTGTGGTTTACTCACTATCATGTGAGCCAAGGAGCTGATGCTGCTTTGTTTTTCTTCTTCTTTCTTCTCCCCCTCACTCCCTGAGGTCCAGGGACAAAACTGCAAACCAGCTTGCTCATTCACTTCCCGAAAATACACAGGTAGAAGTAATAGTGCAATGCTTTGTTTCATCTCTCTCTGAAACCATTCACCTAATAAAGTTTGCAGGGTACTGTAGTGCTGGTAAAACAAACGTGGTCTGAGGAAACGCGTGCCTAATTTATATCAGTAGTAGCACAACCACTGCGGAGTCTTTATTTTTGTTAAACAAACTGATACGTGTTCTCACCTTTCTGTTTGTAAGTACTCAAAGTGTAAAAGTAGCTTAGACCCAAACTAAGAGCGACCATTGCTGCTGTATCCCATCTGCTTCTACAAAACTGCTGTCTGTGGTCCTCTGAATGTCTTGTTTGAACTAACGTAACCCCAAATTGAGCTTGAGGCAGCTGTGGCAGCCTATGCTAAAACTTGGAGAAAGGCTTCTTGAAATAGAGGTGGTGTTCAAAGATCTTTTTGCAAGCACAGTGACTTTTTTTTTAGGTGTCTTTCCATGACACAAGCAAATTTTACTACATTAGTGTTTTTTTTAATGAATTTTTGTCTGACCTGATCCTTCTGATCTTTCTTTCTAGAGTGCTTGTGGTGTCTTTAAAAGCACAGAAATACTGTTATCTCTAGTCAAAATGCAGTTATGAGAAAAGCTAATTTAGATAGCGTTCTGCTACATCCCATTTTCATTACAGGCTTAATGGGAGCAGAGGCTCTGCCTTTACCAGTCTTGCTGATGTATGTATACATCTTTACTATTTTATTTATTCCTCTGTTCTGGTCTCTACTGAACACTAAAATATGTGGCTGGGGGGTGTAGCCAGAACACAGAGGGAGTCTTGGCATGAGGCGATGCATCCTAAATATCTACTGACCCATGCTTATCTGCTTGTAGCTAAAAATCAATCCAAATTAGGTGGGCTATACTTGAAATAGCAGTCTTCCTTGAACTGCACCCTGGATACACTGTGAATCACGTCAGATTAGTAGATGGTCCCTATTGCAGAGTTTCAAGATGATGCTCTTTAACATGTTGTAAGCATATATATATAGGTGATTTCTCTCTTGCCTTCGGCAGGAGGGGAAGCGTGTGGGAAACTGCACACGCACAGGAGGTTCCTCAATATCAAAGCAAGACAGCAGAGAGGCAAGGGCTAGTATTTTCCCCAGCAGTCATGATAAGAGCTGGCAACAGCCTTGCTTAGTTATAAAACTCTTCATTTTGAAGAACTCTGAATTTGATTAATGTTCTAGTTAAGTCACATAGACTCTCTGCTTCAGTTATAATTACAGTGATAAGACATCTTGCTTTTAAGTCACTGCATTCCCAAATGGTGCAGTCTAGGCTGTTTTCAGTTTTGATTTGTACTGAATAAAGTAGAAGAAAGGAAATTTTTCACTTAAATTTGAAGTTAATTTTCTTATGCTTACAGAGGGGAAAAAAAAAACCAAACCTGTGTGTAGATTCTAAGTGAATAATGCCACAGGGAAACTATATTTTATATGGGGCCCAAGCAGTCCTATAGGAAGAAGTTAAATATTGATAACATGGACAATGGTTACTCTTGTATTCTCCTTTCAGATTGGTTTGGTGAAAAGAGCAGTGGTGGACAGATGCCTTTTGGCTGCGGTACAGGTTAATACACGTACCTCATTGAAAACACAGACCAATTTCTCCTCTTTGAAAATAAGAGATGTTGTTCTGGCATAATCATTCACGCTCCCACCCTTTAAAAGGCTGAAAAATATGCTGAAGCAACCGAATATCGATCTGTTTACCTATTGATTTGTGAAATTGGCATGATAATGGACTGCAGTGTCACCTCTGACCCTGCGCGGACATCCACGGCCAAATGCTCTTGGGAGTGAGGGCAGTTTGCTCCTATGCACGATAGTTTCCAACAACTTGGTGCCAGCTGCACCACTGCAGCCTCCCAGTATGGCTGTGGGGGCGGTGAGAGATGCGAGGCGGTGCACAGCAGCTCCGAGGGTGTTGGCTACGCTGGTTTAGGAAATCTTCCAGGCAAATTGCCAGGGTTGTTTCCTGGAGTATCTTAGTGCAGCACACTGGGCCAGGAGATCCGTTCATCAGGAGCAACGGCACCCGATTCGCTTTTGTATGAAAGAAAACTATTGAGGGTGTAAATCTGCTGGGCAGAGGAGCATCCTTCAGGCTGCTAATCTCATCTGTGCGTGCCAAGTATTTAATCTGGCCCAGCCCACAGAGCATCAGAGTCGGCAGCTGACTTTTAGGACAGAGCTGCCTTCAGAAAGGGTTTGGTTTCTGGCTAACAAACGACAGTGATACGAGGCTCAGTGCTCACCCCTAGAAGGCACATCAACGGCAGCGCGTTGCAAACAAAGTTTTAGCAGCAATTTATTCCTGGTCGGAATCAGCCCAGGTTTGTGATCCTGTCTGTTAGAGGCGCAGACTGCTTTTCTCCAGAAACCACTGGGCGCAGCCTGACTCCTCCCCTGCCCTTGGGCTGACAGTGACTAAAGCACTTTCCTGCTGCTCCTAAACTGTGGTCACTGTGCATCTTCTCTGTGCCCAATAAAAGAACGAAAAAGAGTTGTTTCCAACTCAAAGCGGTTCCCTGCCCTGCCTCAGTACGCAGCTCTCCCCAAACTGAGGGTGGGGCACAGACCTAGCCACTGGTCATAGCTTGCCCAGTGACAACTACAGCAGAAAACTAATTTCTTAGCTGTATTTGCTTCAGGTGCGTCTTTAGCATGACAGAAACAAGAGAGGCAAAATTAGAGAAGACTCTTTTTTAAATTCAACGAAATAATTCAGTAAATAAGGGCAGGGAATCTGTCTGAGATGACATGACTGCGATAACGAGAGTATCTTCCCCCCCAGCTCCAGGACGCACAGGTTTGTTTCTGCAGCATCCAACTCCTTGGCCATGAAATCCAAACCCGCCCAGGTGCCCGAGCTCCCCGTGTAACGTAACACACCGGAGAAGTGACGGGGCGAGCAGGAAGCTGCCTGGAGCCAGCCGGCAGGAAAAGCCAGGCACTGGGGGAGAAAGGAAAGGATCCGAAATCTCACCTCTAGCCAGCTGGAAAGCATTTCTGCAACGGGGAAACAGGCTCCGTCACTTTGGGATGGGAACGCAGAGGCTGCGGGGCCTGGGGAGTGCTCCGTCAGAGGATGGGTCCGCTCCTCCTCTATTCAAAACCAGCAGCCAGAGCCATGTTTTACAAGCCAAGCAGCTGAAACCCGTCCAAAGTTCGTCTTGAGTGGATGCAGCGAGATCAAGTTCTGTACTCACCAGAAAAAGAAATATTGACAATAACTGGCACTTACGCGTTGTCTGGCTTGACAGCTCCCACGTTGCTTCAGATGGCTCAGCAGCACCTTTCTACAGCAACTTCATCTTCCTAACCTTCTAACAGCAGCACAAATACAAGAAATGGATCTCAGTAACTGATCTTTGAAGAGTAACTACACAAATAGTCTGCATTTATACTTAAACATTTATGCTGTAATGTAAGTTTACATGTAATGTAAACCTCAAACTGTTAGATTGAAATTTCAAGTCTTTTTTTCCAAGACTCGGAGAGTTGCTCCCAGGCTCCGAACATTTTCCTTCCAGAGCACAGTATAGAAAGTCAACACATAAAAGTCTCCTCCCTGCTCAGGCGAAGTCCAATGAAGAAATAATTACAAAGCTGCTACTAAAAAGAAAAAATTGGGGTACTTCTTAATGCTGCTCAAAGTTACGAGCTGCTACTTGTACCTAATAGCTTTTTGTTAAAGGAGAATTATGAGCACTGCCTATAAGAGAGAGACGGTTATCCTAAAAGGCAAAAACCGTTTAAATGAGAGAATGCAAACAAAAAGCCGACGATGCAAACAAAACCAAGGAACCGGTGGCTTTGAACCTCCTAAGATGGCACATACCCAGTGTGCCTCTTTTAAGAATCACTTGGAAATAATTGTATATTGATAACTTCCATGTGTGGATAACTGTTTTATAATTTCATCAGCTATAGAAACAACTCTCTGAACACTACTTACCATTTGGGATACACTGAAATGCTTCGTCTCTTTTTCTCTTTGAAGATACCATATCTGAGCCTTAAGTTTCATTTTAAGGAGCTGCTGTACCGACTTAGCAATTATGTCATATATTAAAAGCAGATGCTTGCGAGAGGCAAGAACCTCCTCAATAAAACAATGACAGCAAACCAAACCCAGCCCCAATTTGGTGGGTTGGGTTTTGGTTTTGGTTTTTGTTATTGGCAGGGCTGTAAGTTCAACAAACTATGTGAAGTACTTAGGCTTTTGGAGGATTTTGGGAACAGACCAAGGAGCCGCTTACGGAGTCCATTTTAGATGCCAGATTGTCACAACCTAACGTTAAGCACACGTGCATGGAGTTAGACAAACAGATCCAGTAGCTCACAGAGATCTCTTGGGCCTTCCTCCCATCGTAGCCCTCCTCGTCCTTCCCCCTCTCCCACCCACGCAGCCCCGCCCCTCCCCTTCTTTTGCTCCCCTGCTTCTGCCTCTTTGCTGAGCTGAGGAGCTCAGGAGAGCAAACTCCTACCATCTCGTACAATTTCAAATTAAACTGGGTGCCTAAAACACGTCAGCATCCCGCTGTCTCCAGGCACGAGTCTCCTGTTACCCGGTCTTTTTCTCCGCGCAGCAATTTCCGCTGCCGTCAATAGCGGCGGGGCCAGACGATGGCTGTTGCGCTTGACTGGGGAACATGTGGGCAAGGGAGGAGGGGGCAAAGGGGCCGTGTCTCCGGCACCGAACCCCACAGCCCTGGGCACCCAAGCTGTTTGCAGCCGGGGCTCCCCCCAGACCCCCACCGGGGGCTGGTGTTTGGACCAGAAACTGTTTCTAAGGGGATTCAACCACCGCCCCGTGGTTTGGGGAAGACTGGAAGACTCAGCCTCACGGACCCTGTCCTGTCGCTTGTCCTCGGGGCCCAGCAACACACCTGGGCTTGGCTCGTGGTTTCTATCCTAGCGGTATTTCCCAAACCAGGCCGGCGTAAGGCCACAGCAGGGGAAATTCTCTGGCTGACACCCGGCACCGTTCATTCATGCTGGGATCTAGCTGCGTGCCCAGCCTACCCCCACCTGCCCCACGGCAGGCCGTGGGGATTTCCTCTGTCTGGAGGAAGCGTCGGAGGTGCAGTGTCCTAAAGACTCATTCAAGGAGCAAGATGATCCATTTTAAGCTGATTCTCCTGCTATTTTCAACTAACTTATAGAAATTCTAATAAAAGAGATCTCCACTTAGCTTCCGATCAATGGAAACCACACCAAAATGAAGTTTTTCACAACTGCTAACAGGAGGAGGAACACATCAGCTGCTAACACAAGGCCAGCAGTTAATGCTCCACCCCTGCCTTAGGAATCTGGAAATGCTTCAGTGTCAGAACTGGAAGCCACAGAATAAAAGCCCTGGCCTTTAGCTTGCTAGAAAATGTTATAAAAATACACCAGGAACCAGCTAACACTATAAAGAAAAAAAAGTAATTCTGAGTTGTTTTTAAGATAAATTCATACAGCAAATTCAAGTCTGCCTTAAAGAGAAAAATAACTCCTACTCTGAGAATCTTACTAACAGAAAGAAAAAAGCACAATGAGGGGGATTCTTCGCTGTTTTTTCAGGTTTTCCCATTTGTTTTCCACTAATGCAAGGACCACAAATAACTGAAAATAAGGCAATAACAGTTACGCTATTGTAATAGCTAGGAACACAAGGAAGGAATCAATTTGAGGCAGACAGCTTTTAGCAGTTTCTTATGTGAAGTCTCTTAAAGAGGTCTAGAAACAATTCTATAGACCTTTCGGTTCACTCACACCTCTCTGCTCCCCTGCTTCTACAGACACGTATTACTTATTTCCCCAGGAGTTCCCCACAGTCAATTGCCATAAAAGTTTAGCAACTTGCCCTAAGACTGTGACACTTCGAGCAGAGTTGGACGTGCACACAATTCGTATCCTTACTAGAAGCCGCCCGAGCACGGTAAGCGCTCGCTCGTATCCCATCCTTTTAACAAACCGTAACAAAGCAATACCAAACTCTTTGCCACTTGGTTTGAACAGCAGCAACGCAGCTGGCGTACAGACAGGGGAAGCCATTTCAAAATTTCGTTTCAGAGGCCGCAGCCAGCAAGCCGCACGGCACAAAGGCCTGGCAGGGGGCAGAGTAATGGCGAGAGCACAGCAACCGCAGGGGAAACGGGGGAACCTCAACGAAGAAAAAAAACCCCCCGAGGTAACCAAGGAACAACCTGGGAAATACTTTTTATGGAAGAGTAACACTCTTACAATGCTTATCATTAAAAACCCTTCCTCTCCCCCCTCAAGACGAATATACTCACTCTCTCCTCTGAATCATCCCCTCTTCTAAAGAAGGGCAGAAGTTTGCACACGCACACCTTTGAAAAAAAAACCAGACATACGCTTCAGTGTTTACAGTGCGTTTGATAGGACAACCACTTTATTACAAAGAACAAACAATGCTTCGAAATAAGACTGATCAACTTGAATTGTACAAAATGTCAGTTTCCTTGTAGAGGTCATTAAGTAACAGGCTGTAAGACTAAGTTCACATCAAATTCGCTATCCTGAAACAACAGTAATATTTATTATAGCTTCAGAGTTTATGGCATGATCATGTGCTCTACTCCAAACTACATTCAAAAGATATTGCTATAATTACTTTGAAAACACAAAGTGTAGGTTATTGTTCGCTTCATTTCCGTTTCCACAAGAACGTTCTCAAGGTGAAGCCGCAGCAGCGTCTGCCGTAACCGCCACGGCTGTCCTACACTTACACAGTCACAACTTCCCTAAGGAGTTTAGTAAACCTAGACGTTTCTACAAGACGGATGCTGTCATCTGACAGATTTCAGCTTCTGTTACATGTCCTTTAGCGATACATGAAATAAATGGATAACACAGATTCTCAAAGAGCCGATGTCAACAGTCTTCCAAACGAATTTAAAAATCAAACAATCAATATTTGTCTGATATCTAGTTGATAGGCAAACAGGTGGGATTTAGACGTTATAAATACAGTTCTAAAAACAGACCACAAAGTGTATTTTACAGCGTGTACCACAATTTCATTTTAAAGTAAAACTGTGAGGAACTGAAGATTTGCATATGATCACTATTCAACATCACCCAACTTGGACAAAGAAGAGAAAGTGACATCTTATGTCAAGTCAGCTGAAGAAAGCACACTTACAAGGAAATTATACTTTTCATCGAAAAAGCCACAGTTTTACCCTTTGGTAGTTGTGACATACCCACTGAAAAAGAAATTGTGCAAAGCATGTGAAACCAAGTGCAAAAAAAACTCCACCCAGACATACCCAACAGATTTTATTCTTAAATAACAACTCTACAATCACAGCTATCAACCAACAAAATCAAAGCCACAAGTGTTTTCTCTAAAGGCTTCTTTCACAGTACTAATAAGAAAAACCAAGTTCTATTCTTCTAGTTAACCGCTCATGTGTACGGTATTTTAGTTATCAGACAGTATTGGTAGTGAGATCATACCTGATGAAATGGACCATTAAAACACAAATATCTTAAAGCCAGTTAACTTCAGGAAGAGTCCTATACATTCATACTATAAACACTGTTTAAAGTGAATCTGGGACATCTGTCATTGTCATGAACACAAGATTCTTCTCTGGAGTAAAACCACGTGTATTACTCCTGTGCCACAATTAACACTATTATAGCGATTTATGGTCCCCAGCACTTTTTATATGCTATGATAGCATGTGATGTGTTGTGATAATTAAGGCTGTATCAGCACTTCCATTACAACCCTGATTTTCAGGGTAGCTAAAACTTGGCTATTAAATCTGCTCTGGCATACTTGAGCTGTTAAATATCTAATATTTTCGTGATACTTCTCCCACCAAACCAGGCACATCTTTTCTTTTAGTTTATATATTTACAAACGTTCTTAAGACAAATTTAACTGGCAGAGGCAAGAAATTCTACCTTGACGTATAGTCTTTTGGCATTTGGGGCAAAATTAAAGTGCAAAGTATAAACTTCATTGCACAGTAAATAATTTAGATTTTATTTTAAAATAAATCTTATTTAGGTGCCTCAATCTATTCACCTAGTGACCATGTCCAACTCAGCCATTTTCCTCTACACTTTGGTAAACATAGGTTTATATATAGATACATAAATAGCATTTAAAATGTTTACCTTTATTTCACTACTGTGAACAAATCTTTTCTTTTAGCATAGGAATGGATCAACCTATTCCTAGAAGTAATGCTTGTTGAATTTATCAGCTAGCTAGTTAATGTAAAATGATGCATAGTAAAAGGGAGATACTGAACTTGATTGGTAGAATATACTGGTAAAGCAAACAAGCACTTAAGAAGATTAACTGGAATAAATATGTTGAAAGTTGCCATACGATATGTGCAAAATTGCTTACCATGTATTCTAAACTTTGGTTAAAATTTTCAGATTGAAGTTTTACAGAAACATTATGGAAGCAACACAAGTGATTACAAACACAGGAATGAGGTAAGTTATTATTAGTGCAAAAAGCAAGCATATGCTAAAAGCAAAGCATATGGATTTAAAAAAAAAAAAAAAAAAAAAAGAGAATGAATCTCATGGAAGTTTTAATACAAGACCAAAAAGGTCTCCTGTAAACATTGGTATTTACAAGTTTAAGATTTTTACAACTACAAAAGGATAATTCTAAATATTAGTAGTGCATTTACAATGAATTTAAGTTTTTTTTTTTGTAATAAGAGAAATGATTAAGTTTATCTTTTTCCTTTTAAATCTTCAGGGGATATCTTTCAAGATTAAGATATTTGTTACAAATAGTAGAAAAATCATTTCTTTAAAAAAAAGTATATATTAAAATATTTATACATTTTAAGTTACTATATAATAACTGGAAATTTCTTCCTTGTACTCAGGCACCACAATGAAGAATGTGGTATAAGGAACTGAAATCAAACAGAATTTGCTCGTATACCAAATCTTATGAATTATCTATGCAAGGTCTGTAGCAATCATGGGGACTCTACCTCAAATACTACTGCATGTGCCAATTTTGTATTTATCTATTTTTAATTTGAAACGGTGTATTTTTTACATTTCAACTGTCACTACCAAAAAGAGCTACTGGATAGAGTACGGTCCTCCATCCCACCATCTTGAATATAATTTCTACATGGTACTCATACCTGAGCAAGGCTGTATAACGCTGATGTTTCAAACGTAAAAAAGGTTATATATTTTTAAGATAAAAACAATGCAAAAATAAAATATTTGTAGCATTTACAAATAGTACAAGAGTTACATTAAACACTACATTCAAAACTTGAGATTTATTATGTTGTTGCTACTTTGAGCTTGATGTTTTCATATCTGCAAAAAGAAGGAGACATTGTTAAACGTTTCATAATTTCACATCGTGTACATGGTCAAAGACTTTCAAACAACTACCGTTTCAGAGTTCTGGGATACAGATCATGGTCAAAACCCTTGCCAGTTGAAGGGTTAAAACAGCATCAGAATGCTAAACATTACGGAAGACAAACTTCTTCACTTGTTACTCTCCATCTTAGGAAAACGCATGTTAAAAAAAACAGCAGTTGTGTATTCAACAGTTCACTTTCAGCCACACCCTGTGGAACACAGCTCACGAACAGAGAGGTCAGCTACACTGGTACAACAGCCCACTGCTCCCCGAGGGGGCGGGCACACTCCCTGTGCCCTGCTGCTCCTAACCTTCCTCCATGCTCACAGGGCCTCTTGCTGAGCAAAGCCAGCTCCCAACTAGCAGAAAGCTAAGCCAGAATGGGGAAGGAGTGGGATGAGAGGAGAAGCCAGCAAAACTTCTTGTTTTGAGCCCCTGACTTGGTTTACTTAAAAGGTGAGCCAGAACTGATCAGGCTAAAACCTAATCTTTATTTTCGGTGGATCCATTCCCATCCCGAACTCATCATGAACCTGTAGAAATTCAAGTGCAGGGACAAGAGGTCAAAACCTGTTCTTGCTGTAATACGGACTTTAAAGTGTATAAGCGTCACAAAAATGCACCTTATGAAAATTTTTTCTAATAAGGAGGGGGAAAAGATTGAAAAAAAAAAAAACAACCTGATTACACCCACGCACATAACTGGATTACTTGTTAGAATGAAAAACTTTGAGCTGAAGTGAAGCCAGGGAAATCAGAAGCTTACTACGCTTTTATTATTTGAGGGACTAGGTAAGACTCAATAACGAACACTTCAGTACTTGCTTGTCTTTGCTTGTGAACAAATATAAAAAAAAAATTTTAAATGTTATGCCAAATTCAACAACTAAATTTTCTTAAAACTTCTGTAAGGAACAAAACAACATTTCAAGAACTTCACACGCACTGCTGAGAAAAGTCTTGGTTCTAGAGACACAACAGGCCATTTTCTCTGCCACAGCTACAGCCCGTTTAAACGCTGCGTCTGACACTGACTTTACCTTGAAGCCATCGAACTTGCGTGGCTGGTCCGTATCCTCTCTCATTCTTTGCAGAAATTCTGAACACTATTGCAGGTCGGGAAGTGTAATCAACATGAGCATTTGAAAGCTGGGCAGCAGTCACTATACATGATGTTTTAAGACCACAGTATATTCTCATAAATACAAGCTGACTTGGATTTTCCTGTAATTGTGTGGAACGGATTGCTAAGTAGGCAGAATATTCTAAAATATTTCCAGAGGGTGAAGCAGGAGGCTCCCAAGAAAGATGAATACAGTCTACACTCTGAAGAAAAAGGGAGAAAATGTCATAGCATGTAGGTAACCATTAGATACTCAAATATATATATATACACATACATACATATATATATATACATATATATATATACACACACACATACACACAAACACACACAAAACCACAAAACACCTCTAAAGATAATCTGAAAATTCTAATCTAACATCAGCACTCATCACTCTTTGGAGATAAAGATGTCTCTTGACTTTTTTTTTTTTTTTTTTTTTTTTTAAAAAAAAGCATGGTAAACCCTTATAGATTCAAGGATGCAGAAAGAAAAAATCATGGGGAAACTATCAGATGATTAAGATGTGTATCTGGTAACATGATCATTAAGTCTTAAAATAATTCTTTGTAGCAAATTTCTTAAAGAATACTACATTGAGCTGAATTAACCAATTAAGCATTTGACACTATTTTATGTGACAATTTTAACTTGGAAAAAACCCCCAACAACAAACCAACTAAAAACAAGAGTTCTGAGATTAAACTTGTGACCAGAATTTTATACATCAGAACTAGAATTACCTGTATTTCTCACCTTGGTGATTTTGACTGTTGAAGGAGCTCCAGGAAAACCTGGAATGCAAGTCTTGAATTCACTGACTTTACTGAAAGGCCCAACACCACAGCCATTAATTGCAGCAACTCGGAACCTGTACACTGTGCCTGGAAAAAGATCCTGTTTCTTAAGTAATCTATAGTCTGGTACATCTGCACTTTCCATCTGAAAACAAAGAAACATTTGTGTTAATTTTTAAAATATTCTAAACACAATTAGCCATAAAAAAATATGACATGGATAGCGATAAACTGAGATTAAGAAGTTTAATTGAACCTAAAAAACGATCGAACAATTTTGTACTTAAATAAGAATTTACAAAAAGGTTCTGACTGAGGCACTAGCTCACCTTAAAACAGCTGATCTGAGAAGCAATATGAGACTACATCTCTAACAAAAAAAAACCCCATTTTTCAGTCATTTAAATTGAACTGCACCTCTTGGTCATTTTTACTTGGGAAAGTAAAAGCAAAGTAGCATTTCCAACAGCATAGCTTATGATTTAATTAGCATACTCTTCTGTCCTAAAACTATTTTTCTTTCAAAACCAGTTATGCCTATAGTTAGGAGTTGCAATTTGATAAATAGGTAATGAAAATGTCTTTAAAGAAAGGCACTGTAAGTTACTAACAAATAGGTTTCTGAAACATTATGTGTTACTGTACTTCCATGTTTAAAATATTCATTGATGCATCCTTGAAGCTTTCAGTGGAACTCTTTTCCTTCTGAATAATGCAGAAGAAATCACAATCAATGTAAACACTGTAAAATATACTACGCTCTTTAAAACCAAGATGTGCAATATTTATAGTGAAGTGCTTTCTTAGAAAGTGTTCTTTTGTTTCCGTCTCAAGAAAACATATACCCATCGTTTTTGTTTTTAGTTCACTAGGACACAATTAATTTACACTTTCACCATCAAAACTGCAACATTTTTTGCAAGTTTCATACACACAGCATTTTCATACATAAACTTACATGTACAACAACATTAAGTTAGAGAAATCTAATGCAAAACCCACTACACTTCCATATCTAGTCTTTTTAAACAGCCTAGCCTATGTCTTATTAGTATCTTTAACAATTTGTAAGCAAAGATTCTGGAAACAGAGAAGAAACTTTAATCAAAACATTTCAATGCTGTACTGAAATAACATATTAAAAAGGTGGGGTTTTTTTAATTTTTAAGAATTTTTACTGGTTTGAAAGTTCACTAAGTTTAAAATTCTTTCCTAAGGCTAGAAATACAGGAAGAATTACCAATAGCACAATAAGACATTCCATATTATCATACAAGAACAACAGAAGAAAATTAACCTGGCTTAAGAAATAGTAAAAAAGGTGAGCAAAATACGGAAGGAACTACATGGTCACAAAATATAAAACTCCTATAAGCACCAGATCCTGCTGCAGTATCAGCAAATACTACATTTTGCTGTCAACCATATGAGCAAGAGACTCCAAAATACATATGTGCAAGTATGTCAGAGAAGAATTAGCAGCTACCTTGTTAGAGATGCTGAGCGTTTCCTCTGGCAGCAAGTAGAACTGGCTCACCACAGCGCTGTTGTTCTTAAAAATTCCAACATCATACCACTGCCGGTCTCTTGTTTTCACTGGTGCCATTTGTCTTTGTGGAGTTTTCTAGTATTTGAAGAACACGTTATGTAGACTACCCATACATCAACGTAATGTAAAAAAAATGTTAAGACTCTAGTATATGTAAGAGACAACCCCCTTTCATACCAGTGTTATTTTCTTATACTTCAAAGGAATATGCACATATTGCAAAAATACTGTTCAAAACCAACTGGTTCTTGTACATTGATTTAGACACAGTCCATAATTTCAAAAAAAAGAGAAAAAACCAAAACCCAAACAGTTGGGATGTCACCTCTGACATTCTAGTTTAAACCGGGAGGGGAAGAAGTTTAAAGCTGTAGAACTAGGTGTCTGTAGCAGCATGTAGTTGCGAGTAAATTTCACTCAGAGGTCAAGAAGTTTCACAACATGGTCCAACATCAGTAGCTCTACCTGGGATTCAGCTATACCTCAGCCCCAAACATACTCTTTCAAGCTGCTGCTGAACTCGCAGCTGAAAACAGGGCCTCTGCTGTGGCATGGGGCGATGGTGGTGGAGGGCACAGGGGACAAACCATCTTTCTCACTTGCCTCCAGGCACCAGGGAGGGTGCCTGCATGGTCAGGGTGCCCAGGACAGACAGGCCATGATCCTGCTAGCACGGTAAAGGGGCAGGAGTGGCAGCTGCTATTGGCAAAAGCACCCCAACCCTTTAGTAGCAGCTGCTTCTTCCCATCCTTAGCTCCTCTCTTTTGGTGGCAACAGTGGCACCTTGGTTTTGTGTATTAAGTTGTAAGCAGGTGAAATAGGAAGCATTTACTTTTTCAGGCAGTATTTACAGCTTGCATAGCCAGTCCCCATCTCTTCTAGGGAAAAACATCAAGATGTCAGTTTAGTTACGTTTCAAACCTATAGATCAGCAGCTAACACTAGTCTGATCTAATACATACTTCATTTAAAATTCAGTTGTGCATACAGAAAAACATTTTACATTTGCACATCATGCAGCAGAGACCATTCCACTGTGCCAGTCGATAAAAATGATTCAATAGTGGAAACACATACTTGGATCTCCTCCCAACTACACAACTGCTACTTAGACTCAAATCAAACCCACACGATGCAATTAGTTTTACAACAGAAATGTTTACCCCTCTATTATTCACTTCAAGCCCTAAATATACATTGCTTTTCTTTCAGCGATATAATTAAAGGAAAACAGAAGAGCCCTCACAACTAATCAACATAACAATAAATACAGCACTTTGATTATACTTTTTCAGACTTACAGAGGAGTGTGAATCATTTGTCTGTCCAGTACTGAGCCTTGTCGAAGGCATGATATAAGCAGTTTCAGCAGCTAGAAACAAAAAAAGTTACCTTTAAAAAGCTTCAGTGATATGAAAAATTTAACACAAAGTCCTCAGAGTACGCAAGTTGACCTCAATAGCCATTTACAAGTATTTGTTGCAAAAGTATGTCTGAGACTTCTTTTGCATGCAGTTCTATTTATAACACGAACAACTAATTTTGGCTTGCATCATATTCACAGAACAACTGTAAGAGCCTGGCGTTGCAGGCTGCTACAGACAATACAGACAGAAGGCAGGACCCCAAATCTTAAGTGACAGAATTATGAAATCGATACAAAGTATTTGTGAACAAATAATCTAAATACCAGATTGAGGCACATACTGATGACATTATATGAATACTCTAAGCATGAAATCTTAATTTGAATGCATTGTTTCTGACATTAATACAGTCTGAATTCTGAACATGAGCAGTTAATCTTTAAACAATCCTAACAAATGGGAAAAGAACATTTATTAAATTTAAAATGGGATCTTTAAAAAAAAAAAAAAGACCAAGAGAAATTAAAGCACAGAAGCACTAAGCACACGAGCAACACAAGGGAATATTAGTATTCTATACTTGTGTGTCTGGGGTTTGCTTTTAAAATACAATATTGTTTGGTAAAAATTACACTACTCACACTGCGTCAATAAGAGAATACAGTTCTTCAGTTAACACTCAAAACAATAGCAAGCACAGCCTGCTGATATTCATGAAAAACAAAACTTGGAAAACTACCGATATGTTCGGTTTCTGCATTGCTGCTTATTTAAGCTATTTCAAGCAGACTGTGAAGAGGTCACCACATTTGACTAGCAGTGAGCTACCCACATGAACTGGCCGCATTTGTTACCGAGGTCAATTGTTTAAAATCAAAACCATCTAAGGTTACTATTTGTAGTCTTTTGCTGACTAAATAAACAGACAATCACTGAATGAAAGCAAATGCCCTATTGGGCACCAAAACTGGCTGCCACTGCTATTTAGAAAACGAGCTTCTGCATAAATGAAGATTTAAAGGACCTTTCACTTACAGGAAAACAAAGTGGTTTACAAGTGTATAAAAGGAATATCCTGATTTTAAAAGATGTTTAAATCATAGCAGAGATCATCCAGGCCGCCCAACGTCCTCAATGCCCAAAGCCCTATCTCAATCCCAGGCACTAGTCAAGATGGGAATCCCACCACACTAGAGGAACTCAGATGGCCTTAGATATATATGGCTCAAAATACAGTATGTGAAACACATTTCAAACCTTCAGATTTTGAATTGAATGTTGTTAGTGAAGTTTCATCTTTAACAACTGCCCCATTTGTACTTGATGATTCAGTTTTAACAGCCTGCTGGGTTACCATAGTTTGTGTGCTGGAAACAGTACTGGATACAGAAGCATCAGGATTTACAGTTCGTTTGTCCAAGTCATGTAATTCACCTACATTTGCTGAAGACTGAGGACCTTAAAAAAAGAAAATATTAACCAGAATTCAATATTGATAACACCTAACAAATCTCAACTTGGTCTAATGGCTTTACTTTCATATAAAACCAGAGTTTAGCTCAGATTTCGGTTAGAATAGATCTCATTATATTAATTGCTAATGCTTTCTTCAGGTATACATAACTTAACAAGAGTCTGTCTGCATAGTCATAAATAGATATATGTAAACAGTTATATTAAAAAGGGAATTTCATTTGTTTTAAGCTTGCTATTCTATATCTATTTGGCTACGAAAGGATTAATTTGGAAAAAAAATCCTAATATAACGTGCCTACACAAATCAGTTTCACAGATTTGTAACAATCAAGATTAACAACTGTGGGAGTCTGTTTCTCACTTGGCACTAAGATCCAAAATTTCCACACAATACTTAAATTACACTGTGAAAAAAATGAAAATCCAAGAACCTATAAATTACATGAAAGTCAAATATAAACAGATCAGGTGATTGAGCCTGGATTCACCACACTGAACTTAAGGCACTTCAGTGAAATGCCTAAATCAGTGCCGAGTCATCTTCTATTTCCTCTACAGTCAGAGAGAAACATGCTCCTCTCTACGTCACCTAAAATTTTACATCAGCCAATACCTTTTCACTATTAACAGACAGAAGTAGTGTCAAAGAGAGCCTGGAGTTACTATCACCTTAACATTGTAAAATGAATCTGGTCCTGTCAGTCTGTTCTTTGATGTTAAAAAGGGCTACTTATGTTTACAGAGACACATTTGCCATCATAATAATGATTATATTGAGAATTTCATGTCCCTTGCAACACTTCAAACAACTCAACATTTCATTTTTCCTCATATCTTCGAAAAATACGTACAGTAATAACTAGCACAAGTTGGTTGTTTTTAAACTACAAAGACCTCTAAAATAATTTTAAATTGCAAGACAGAAATAACCTTACTTTATTTTTTATGAGATGAATTTTAACTCTCACTTTTTAATTAATTTTTATTCTACAGTCATCTTACTTGAAGAACAAACAGGCAAAAGAGAAGGGGCATTTGATTCTTTGAATCCTGTAGCATCTGCATGGTTTTTCATAGTCTCCTGTGCAATCTTGTTTTCAGGTGCTGCAACCTTTTCTTTTCCTTCTACTTTTAATAATGAGTTGGATGAAAGGGAAACTTGGACCTAACCAAAACAATACATTTGTTAATGTTTAACTGCAAAGTTCAGAAATGTCAGTTGCAAACATGGCACGAAAATGCTTGCTCGAAAACAACAAACAAAAATCCTCCAACAAATCCCCCTAGCATTTTAAATTAAAACAAGAAACCAACCTCACAATCCACCTTATATTAGCCATTATAAAACAAAGACTCAAACTCTAAGTTGACTTGGAAGTGTCCCTGACACATACTAAACTTTATCTGACAGTGAGCTCACATTCTTATGTTATTACATGGAAGTTCATTGATGCATACATTTAGTCTACTGGGGGGACTTGAGGGGATGGGGGGGAAAAAAAAAAAAAAAAAAAAAAAAAAAATCACAATTACAGTGACTTTCAACCTTTGCTTTCCTGGCACATACCCAAGATATTTCTACTGTTAGTAAAATTCATAGTACTTCCACATGTATTTTCTACAAGAATACTTTATGGGATCCTATACAGACCTGAGGCCTTACGCAATTAAGAAAAAAGGTCTAAATTTCTAAAAGGGCGATCCTTTAGCCAGAGTTTTTCTTCCCTCTTTCCTTTAAATTGGCAAAACAGTGGAACACGTACAACTGCACAACCAGAACAGACAATAATTGGGTTTATACTGTAGTAGCAACCTACAACTAAGCAGACTAGCGTAAAAACACTAACAAAGAAGGAAATATGCCTTATCCTTTTTGCCTCCCACATTAATTTCACCAACATTTTGAGGATGAATAGTTACTTCTACTAGTATCAGGCTCCCAGTTAGCGTTCTGGAAGTCAATACAGTTGCAGTTTCCTTTCTGCATTACCAGGAAGAGGACTTTAAAGACTGTCTGTCAATTGTAAAAGTAAAAAGAATGTAAGAAAACAGACACAACTACTTCAGCAAGTGTCTTTTTTTTTTTTTCCTTGATTTTGCATTTTTTTCCTAAGGCCTAAAAAGTATGCAGGGACTTTTAAAACTGAGAAAGTGTTTTGGCAGTTCTCTCGCTTCCCACACTACTTTGCCACTTAGGCATTTTTCAGTTTACACTTACGTTATTAGGAATGACATTATTTGTTTGGCTGGGATGATCCACCTTCATTTCTGGATAAGGGACACTAGGCAATGATTGTGGACTTTGATGTAGAGAAGAGCCACCTTTCAGGTAAACAAAAGCAAATTCCAATCAGTTACATAAAACTTAGTATTATGTTGGTTGGAATCTATTCCAGTAAGCAAGAGGGAGACCCAAAGTTGCCTGAAGGAAGACTTGGTTGTAAGACTGAAATGAAACTGCACGGCTGAAGAGTCAGATAAAATCCCTTCCTCATTGTTTCTTCTCTCAAATCGTGCCCAGCCCTGTACGAATATCTTTGCATTCAAACAGCTGGCCAAAACTGACAAGAGGCAAGTTAGAGCTGAGTTTTCCTTAATTATGATGCACACATTTTGGGAATAACCAAAGAAATAGGGTCTCTCTCTCGAAATGACTTTTTTCAAAAAAAACCCAAACCCATAGTAATTACTTATGCAATCCTCTACTCTATCTTTGTACAAACATTAGCGTAATGTGATCTGACTACTACCTTGTGAACTCAGCACTGATGTCTCAGGAACCCCAGTAGCAGGTATTCCAGCCACTGACGGCACTGGTGAGTCAGCATGTAATTGAAGAAGATATCCTTCAACTGTAGGTAGTTCATCCCATTTCACTTGAAAAGAGTTGGTTGTAGCTCTAATCAGCTGTACCTGTGATGGTGCTGGAGGTTTCTCTACAAGCAACCAATAAAACACAGATGGCATGTTTGAAATTGCCCTCCTTTATCAGTTTAAGAAATATCTATATAATGCAAGCAAACTCAATAGCTCCTTTTCCACTTATGTACAATATATACCAGATTCAACAAGAAACAGTTGTCAAAGGTGGCAAGTCAAGTCAGAGAATTATAAAGCGTCATTCTAGAGTGTTCAAAAATGCTGAAGTTTTAATGCTTTCTTTGGTTTTTAATGGCTCTTCTGCTGCCAGTAAGTCTTTGGCTTGCATATGTATCGTTCTAGGGATTACAGAGATAAGAGATCCTCTTCCTCTCCTAAAAGGCTGCACACAGCTCTTCGGCTCCTAAAGCTTTACGTATTCCTGGAGGGGATTCACAGAAGATTGTGCTCCCTATTTGCTTGCTCTCTGTAGCTGAAGTGAGCTTTCCCTCACACTTATTCTGCAGAGGCTGAAGCCTAGGCATGACTCAATGCCAATGACCTGCTCCTCCCACTTGCCTTGATGCCTGACCAGCCTGCACCCTCAAGCACATCCCTCCCCTGCTACTCTTTTTCATCTTCTGACCTTCCTAGAGGAGGGGGGAGAAAAAAAAAAAAAAAAAAAAAAAAAAAAAAAAAAAAAAAAAAAAAAAAAAAAAAAAAAAAAAGGGAAAACATGATCTCCTAAACATTTCACGATCTCCAGTAACCATTCTCACACTTCCGCTTGAGCAGGCAACAACTCCCTCCCAAAAGTACTATTCTAGTTCCCTCTCTCCCAATACCATCTCAGTGTCCTGCCATCAAGGCAGCTACTAATGAGTGATTAGTGCTCCAGAATTCCCTTCAGCCCCAGGAACAATTTGGTCCTTTCTCAGATTCAGCAGTATCTTTTTGCAGTCCAAGAGATGAGGAAGCAGCAGCAGCAATGATCCCAGGAGAAGGAGGGGGTTGGTAAAAAAGAGTAAGTAGCAGCAGAAAAGATCACTGAGAAGAGAGGCCAGGAACCTTAGGTTTAGGTAAAACACCCTTTAGCACCTTGTATCTACTGACTATGTCACGCAATGCAAAAATCTAGCCACAAAGTTCTTTCAGAGGCTTTAAACAAGCCTTCCTAATTTTTTTCAGTTTAAGTTACAGCTGTAGCCTTCAAACAAGCAACAGTGAAGTGTGGTTTATTTAAATAAGCTTTAAAATTTAAATAATCTTGCAGTTTGCTACAGCTTCAGATGTTCTGATCATCAATGATGCCAGCTTCCCATATGTTAATAAAATATGGAACATAGTACAAGTCTCTTATTTATTTCTGACTCACCAGTATCAAGGTACCAAAGATCTTTGCAGCAAACTTGATTGTTCCAAGCTTTCCTGTAACCATCTCTACCACTCCAGATATACAGACGAGTGCCAACCGCTACAGCACAGTGTCCTGCTCTTGGCCCTGGTAACAAGTTACTTTTGTCCTCCTGGCAATCTGAGATCAGACCTATCCATTCTGTGGTATCTAGTAAATGAAACTCAAAAAATTTAGTTTCTAGATGTTTTCCAAAACAAGCAATACAGATGTTAATACACTTTACTGCTCAGAGAAAATGAATCACCTCTGGTTTTATAGACAATTGCATTTAAATTTGCAATATTACAAAGAGAAGGTTGATTTCCAATTAGTTTACAAGATACGATCAATTAATACAGGATGAATTTTCTGACCTCTGGTTTTCTCTCTCAGGCAAATACAAGATTCAGGGATAGTACTATCACATTTAGAAAAAAAATCATTTCAGGATCTGTCTCGTGTTCTACTATAAATGAAGAAGGAGTATCTATATTACTTAGCATTAAAGTTGTAGGAACAAAGATTTGCATCAGCAAACCTGCTGAATGTTCAAAGAAAATAATAATAAAAAAATCACTCTTAAGAAAGATGTAAAAAACTGCTATCTTCTTTAGTCAGCTAGGATTACAACTGAGTATCCTACAACTTTTCTCAGGGTCTTCAAAATATTTATTCTACTCTGTTACGAAAGTATTAATTCAAAATGCCCGCTCCCATAAAGGCAGAAACACTGACCCAAATTAAGATAAGAAAATGAACCGGTACATTTCCATTCACCATCATGAGCAGAAATTTCACCTCCTGCTGACTGTGGAACCCATCCACCAAAAACATACATTCTGAAATACAGGAAAAGAGGGAAGAGGGAAAAAGAAAAGAAAAGCCAATTAACATCCAGATCTGCTGCATGTGCTGTCTCAAACTAGGACAAAACAGAAAGTTTCCAGTGCTTTACAGTTCTGGCTTACAGCAGATTTTATTTGTGTCTAGTCTCTTTAGAAAGTATTGTCGCAGACATCTACCTTCTGAATTTTTTTGATAAGTTAATTCATTAAAAAAACAAACAAACAAAAATCCCCCCAAACTCCTCAAACAACTTCCCAGAACAGAAGGTAATAATGTGTCTTTTTACAAACAGCCAAACTGCTAATACTCTCCAAAAATCACACACTTACACAGAATTTCTACAATCCTTTACTGCAGACCTCTCAATAAACCATTCTAAAATTAGAAAACTGGTATCTAAGTCAGATATCAAAATTTAAAAACATAATGCAGACTACAAACTAATACTATTTCATGTAAATAATAAAAAGCTAAGCTCTTGGATCATAAGATACAAAGCTTTCACACTTTTTTCTCCCCTTGCCTCTTTCTTCTCACGCCGGCTTATAAACGGATATAAAATGGACTGAAACCCATGTTTAAAAGTCCATTTTATCAATGCTATCTGCCAAAACAAATCATACTGGCAAGAAGCAAGTAATGAGGAACAGACTACAGAAATACTGGCCCACGAAAACATGGAATGGTTTTGCCTAGAACTAGTTCTACTCTTTGGGCAGTTTCTTCGTGTAGCTAGTTCGTTGTGTCACAGACACAGAGGCACTCAAGTTGGCTCCTGACAGAGCCAGCTCAGGTCCCGCTGAGACCGCCCCAGAATGCACAAGGTGCATTAAGAAGCCTGGAAAGCTGCTCGTGGGTTGGGCAGATTGTCCTGCTGGATGGAAACACTGAGAGTTTGATACCCTTAAATTAACAATGGTACTTTTTAATTTCCACTGAGGTAGGATAACAGAAGCAGAAAAGTACTCTACAGGGCTGACGGTTTACACTGAGCAGTAGTGGATAAGCATCATCATTCTCCTACTAGGTGTACCTTTCTAGAGTTGAGCTTTTAACAACAGACATACTTGTTTCCTATTACATTGGCCGTATGGAGACTGCGAGGAAGTGGTACTGTCCCTTTAGTTTCTGGTCTTGACCAGGTCATGGTTTCTAAAAGAAAAAGAATAAAAACCCTTAAGCAACTTATTACTGTGTATTTCACTGCCTGGATTTTAGGAGGGAACATACCTCTAACATTCAACAAAACAAAATTTCACCTTTTTAAGATGGCCACTTTAAGAAAGAAGGCACAATAACAGGCACTTAAAGCTTCTTTTAAAATTCACAGGAAGTACTGACAAACTAAATGTTTATCAGTTTATCAAACAGATATATCATGGTTTCATTATAGTTATTCAACTTGGTTATCATTTTGACAGTCTTTAAACCACTCTAAAGAAACAACCTCACAGTGTAACCAAAATCAGTGAGGATAATATATGCAAACAATGATATATCTATTTAATTCAGTGAGGCCCCTGCACTGACTTTTTCTGGCAAATCAACTCACCTATGTCAAGTTCCCAGAGATCATTAAGCCGACAGCCACACATCCCTCCAAAAATATACATCTTTGGACTTCCCAAATCTTTTCTGCAGTATACGATGGCTGTGTGAGATTCTCGGGGAGACGGCAAGATCCCTTTGGTCACAGGAATACTCCAGCCGACAACTCCAGAACCGTGTTGCAGCTCCAGTTCATAGAAATCATTTAAATATCTAGGGTATTATTGACAAAGTATGAAAAATTTGCTTATAAGCAAGATTACAAGGGAGCTTTAAACCCTGACCACTTCCAAGTATTACAGACTTCTGTCTTGAAAGAGTGCAGAACTTTAAAATCCCAAAACATTTGATGGCATTGTGGAGAGTACCAAAACTAAATGGATTTAAAACAAAAAATGAACTATTGTAACTTGTTGCCTCTAAGGAAACATGCTTTCATATCATACTTGATACACTATATTACATGAAAGAAACACTGACAATTGGTAAACAACATTCTTGGCAGAAATTTCTACATATGGACAAACTTGGAATAAACTGCAAAGTTGCGAGAAATACACGATGACATGGGACATTAGAGATGAATTTCTGCAACTCTAAGGCAACAAAGGTGAAAAGAAGCTGTTTCTTTTCTGATGTCTCCTGGCTGACCAACAGACAATTAGCCACTTGTTGCTTAATCTATTGGCAAGTTATTTTTAGATAACGGTCTTTAAATTCACACCAGATACCTCTTTACTAAGCTTAAAATTTATAGCCAGTTTATAGCTCAGTGGATAGAAGTGCTCTGAACTGCAGGTGAATGTGGATATAAAATTTCAGCATTATAGCACTGTTTGCCGACAACAAAGACAACTTCAGCTGTTACTTTAAAAAATATCCAGATTAATTAATAACTGTTTTCTATAGCATTATAGAGGAAACTTCCATTGTGAATTCCCTAATGACTCATGGAACTTTATGATTTAAGTAATTCTAACAAACAAGCCATTCTTAAAAACATCATCCAAAATACTAGGAAAATACCAAAGTCTACTCAGGTTTCCCTCCGAAAGTGTTAGAGCTGTCAGTCAGTGTTACATATTGTGGGATTAGCAGAAGAAATATTTAAGCTTCTTAGCCTGTAACCCCTCCACTGCACAAATAATTCATATGTGAGTACTTGGTATGCAGGACAGCCTCCCTAGAATGTTCCTCTTCAAAGCTGTCATATCTAATTTCTTTTTAAAGACACTGAATTCAAACCAAATCAGCATACCTGGGAATGTTATTATTTGAATCCTCACTTTCATTTGCCAGGCCACCAAATAAATAGCACTTGTTACCATATAAAGAAAAGCTGTGACCAAGTCGAGGACAAGGTGGTGATCCAGTGGAAGGAGCTTGAGGTTTTACTTTTTTCCAGAGCCATCGACTTGCCTTAAAGACAAGAAATATATATTCAGAAATATATTCATTTATAGTTGTTCATAGTCAATAGAATTAACTCGTATATTTTCTGAATTATTTTTAAGGGTATGCTGGGCTTTTCTTAGGAAATACATTAAAAGGGACACGTAAGAGCTAACCTTCATAAAACATTAAATATTTTACATTTTATTTACACTAGATGGAAGTCTCTTTTTCAAAGTTATTTAGATTTTCTCCATCTTCAAAATCTATTTAAAGAGTTTATTCTTCCTGGAGCAGAGCAAAGCTCATCTAACTTTCCTCTGTAGTCAATAATATAAAATGTGTTTGCTCATAAATAAATAAATAAAGTAGTCCTCAAAACTGAAACATCTTCATACATTTCCTACCTGTAATTCATATAAATCATTACTGTATCTTCCATATTCAACCATTCCTCCAAAAACTAGTATTCTGGTACCATCACAAACAAATCCATGTGCTGCACAGCCTGGAGGAATATCTCCCCTTACAGCAGGAAGGAACCACTGATTTGTAGCTATAGGGGGGAAAAAAAAAAAGAAAAAAAAAAAAAGAGAGATTTCAAACACTGAGTCGGAAAGTGTATTTTTAAACACCTCTGCTTTCTAAAGAATTACCTTTTACCTGTAGATAATTGTGAATGGGCTGTTTGTTTAACATGAAGTTTTCATTGAATTTAAACTTTTTTTTTAATAAAAAGAAAAGCAAACACCTCTATCAAACCAATGTTACTCAATATATGAATGAGCACATGAGTTCACTGAAACTAAGTCAGTTACCAAGGGTCACTCAGCAATTTAATAGACTTGCCAAAAAAAGAGGCTAATAAGGAACATAAGTGCAGTTCCGCACAAAAGAGAGAACTACGTTAACTCAGAGGGAGCTAGCCCTAGAAACAGAATTATTAGAGCTACAGCAGCATGGCAGTGTGCCTGGACTTAATAGCCCTATTGAAAAACTAATTACGCTGTTCTGGGACCAATGTTAATATCTACAGAGCACTGCACTGATACATGGGAGAGGAGAGGCACAGAGGCAAGAAAAAGCAACTGAGACTGCCTGATCCCGCAGCAGCAGATTGGTGTTTAAGCTGTTCTGGACTGAAAGAATTACAGGAGATATCGTCTCCTTTTTCCTAAGCTTTTTTCATGAGCACGAAAAGTGTGAAATTAGAAGCTTCAAGTCAATGTTGCTGCAGGAGATTAAGATGCCCTCGCTGTCTGCCAGCTCCTCAGAAGTCATCACACTCACAGCAAGAGCAATGGTTGACATCCCAAACTCAGGCAGCCCAGGTCACAACCCTGCATCATAGCCCCCGGAAAAAAAGAAAGGTCGGTTTGGGCCAAACACCCATCTAGGAACTGAAACAACTGAGTTGTGATCCTTTTTGTCACTGCTGCAAAGGGTAAACACCTTTAGCAGAAACTCTGGGCAGGAAAATAAAAAAAGTGATGTTAAGACTCACTCAAAAGGCACCCATCAGAACCTCTGTTCTGAAAGATAGTATAACTCTAATAAGCAAAAATCTTTCTTTGGAGTACTCATCAAAACATAACCGTTAAGAGATATATCCGCCCCCCCATAAATGTGATTGAGTACAGCAGATCTTTAAGCTACCATGGAAAAATCTGCTTGGAAGAACTCTAACAGTAAGCATTTTCCTCTTAATAAACTCCCCAAGCCACCAAAACATGTTTGTGCTCCCAGATTTTATCTCAAAAACACTCTGCAAAAATACCA